GGGGATAGGCTGGAGGATGCATATTGGGGAGCAGTCACATCGGGAAAAATGATAATTGGTGCATTGACTGCTTTGTGTTATGGTAAAAAAAAAATACATACCGACATGTAATTACAAAATACTTTCCCATTCAAAACATGAGTGAGGTGGTCACTTGCTGGTTTGGTCGAGCTGGGTGTCGAGGCATGTGTGAGGTTCGAGGCTCCCAGCTGCATTATTTTTTACTTTTTCTCTATTATTTATTTCCAAACCTGAGGGGTCTGGTGGGTTCTAGATGGATGAGGGAGATTGGGGTGGAGTGGGGAGTGAATTCTTCCAAATCGGAGGGGTCTAGTGGATTCTAGATGGATGAGGGAGATTCTGATGGGGTGGGGAGTGAACTCTTCCAAACCAGAGGTTTTGGTGGGTTCTAGATAGATGAGGGAAATTCAGATGGGGTGGGAGTGAACTCTTCCAAACCAGAAGGGTTTGGTGGGTTCTAGATAGATGAGGGGGATTGGGGTGGAGTGGGAAGTGAACTCACCACCACCACCAACTCCAATTTATGAGGTAGTAGAGATTAAATTTGGGTTATCGACAAAATCTAAGCACAAAATGTCAGAATGCACATGCGTTGACGGCTATCAGAGGGCTTGGTGCTTGCACAGTTTCACTTACTGGATGGTGCTTGTGTGACATGCCATCTGGGGTTATTTGTTGTTTGATTGTTTTTCACGGAATGAAATTGGTGAGCCAGGGCTATGAATTTAGTCATGCCACCTGTCTAGGCCTTTAATAGGGTCTCTTTTTTACATCACTTGGCATGCTTCCATACCACCTGTATTAACTGATGCAACCCCCAGTACCACACTGAATTAGAATGTTTATATGCTTGCCCGTCAGAAGTAGTTTGCCAGATTGGTGAACTGCAGATTCTGGTTGGGATCTGCCAGCTGATATAATTCCATAAAATAAACGAATGGAGTTTCCAGCCTATAGGCCTCTCTACTTGTGTCATGACTGCTCTGCTCACCTCAAACTAATGCTTTGTCATTAATGCCAGATAAGAAAATGGAAAAAAACTTTATTTCTACCGCATATCAAGTGAGGGCAGCTGTTGGAACAGCTGTTGGTGTAGCTGCTGCCCGCGCGAAGATGCTCGCGGACCAGGAAGAGCGGGAGATGGAGCTTCTAATGGCGTCCATAATTGAAACTCAGGTGAATTGTCTTCCTCTTTCCTTGCTTAAATTTTCATAAATGTAGTGTATTTTGGGTTTCTAGGTTTAGCTGAAAGGTACTACCTCTGTAAACGAATGTAAGACATTTTAGATCACTATTTTAGTGGCCTAAAGCATATTATATTTGTTTACAGAGGGAGTACATCATAGATGCTGACCAAGTTGTTTCTTAATCACTGACGGCTGTTATCTTATGTTTGGCAGCTAAGAAAGATCCAATACAAGATCAAACACTTTGAGGAGCTAGAGTTGATCATGGATCAGGAGTACACCGCCATACAACAAATAAAGGAATCCCTGATGAAGGAATGGCAAACGGTCCTGGAGCGAGCATTTCAGACTGGAGCACCGCTTCAGAGGGACGAAGTGCTCACAAGGCTGTTCCTGGACAGGTCTACTCCATAGAGAAGCTGACTGGAGCCGATAATCCCTCCTCTGATCCGCCGCCTCGCCCTCTGACTGTAGTCCCTGTAGGTAAAGCAGCATTGTGCGTGCGCAGAGGAGGGCGGGCGCATCTGTAAAGGTGCTAATTCATCTAGAAATGTTGTGCTTGGGGCCGCCACACAGCCCCCTGTACCATGGTGTGCAATTGCACACAGCAGCAGCTCTGTTGTACCAACATCATCCAGCTAGGGTTAGATAGCAAGGGTTGCTGATAGTCTCCTGTAACTTCATTTTTTCCGGATGCACAGATGTTTGGTCGGTTCGGCGTGTCCGTATTGTCGGCCCCGCTGTACTGTTTGGTTGAACAAATAGTCGCTGTATAACTTTCCAGTGTGAGCTTAGAGTACATACCGTGAGAATACCATGGATGTTGCTGGAAGAAATGGCCATGTGAACTTTTTCCTGGGAGATGTTTGATTGAAAGTTGGATGGAGGACTGGGGCAGTGATCTCAGCCCCAGACGGCGCCTGGGAGCGCTGCCTGGGTCAGGCAGACTTGCTTGGAAGCCAAACCAAACAGATAGTTTTTTTTTTGCGAATATTTTTTTTTCTTTTTTAACTTGAGCTGAGTTTAACCGAGGCAAGGCAGCTCTTATCCCTAGCCTCGCGCATGCTAAACTAGAGCAGGCATTTTCTTACGGCCTCTGGTCGGGTGTATGGGGTTGGCTTCTGGAAAATTCTACGGAGCCCAGACTCGTAAGCAGAGTATGAAAATTAAAATTGAAATTTGAGAACCAAAATTTCAAATGGCCGACATGGATAATGCCGTGCCAAAATGCAGCATTTTTTGGCAACAATTCCTGTTTCATCATAGGAAAGCAAGGGGAAAAGTTCACCAAAGCCCCCAAAGCGGAGGCAAAACCCTCGGTTCGCGGACAACCTCTCCTCTCCGCCCCCCTCTTCTCTACGGCCTCCAGGCTCGCGACTCGCCAACGACCTAATGGCGAAAAAGGGCAAGGCCGCCGCCGCCGCCGCTTCAGCGTCCGACTCGGGGGCGTCGAGCCCCCAGGGCTCCGTCGAGGGCGGCGGGGAGAAGGAGGGCAGCTTCCTGCTGGGCCAGCCCACCTGGGAGGACGCCGGCGGCGGGCGGTGGCGGTGCGCGGAGACCGGCCACGAGCTGCCGGAGCGGGAGAAGGACGCCTACGCGCGGTCCCGCGCCTGCCGCCTCGCGCTCATCGACCACGGCGTCGCGCACAAGAAGCCGCCGCTCAACGCCTTCAAGCCCCACCCGGAGCACAAGTGCGTACCGCTCCTCTGCTCTGTATTTTGCTGCCTGATGCGTGTCCAACCTAGATTGTCCCAAATACTTTGTGTAGGAGTGTAGATTGCTCATTCGGTCCCATGGCTATTTGATCGGCTATCCCTTAAGTGCCCTTAAGGGATTCTAGGGTTCTAAATGCAACGTACATCGTGTGCCAAACAAGTACTAACAAACAAACATGACTCATTGGCTTGTAATTCGGCTGTGGTTTAGCTGTTGCCTTTTAGGATGTTGGTCTGTCGAATTGAGTTGGCAATTGTGTTGCAGGTCCAAGCTTGTATGCAACATTACCGGGGACACCATAAACAAATCGGAGGAGCACATCTGGAAGCATGTAAATGGGAAGAGGTTCCTGAATAAACTAGGTAAAGTGAGTTTTGCACAATACTGTCTGTGGTGCCAAGTGTGGCAAATGGAACATCATATGCTGTTGCTAATAAAATGTACTATTCTGTTTTTCATCTATTTCTCTACTGGTTAAAGAACCATGATGAATTTCCCACTGCCATTTCCATGTATCTGTCTGCTTCTCGTGGTGCATTCTTGTACACCCATGTGCATCATTTTGGTTATCATCAAAAGTAATTGTTATGAAATGTTAGCTGGTCCGTTTCTCTGAACAATTTTCTATGGATTGATAGCAGATGGTTATTTGGGTAGAATTATGTTATGCAACTTGCTTTGGAATTGCAATAAGCGCTTTGTTTCATTTGTCTTCTCACTGGTCTGGAAATAGTTGGGAATATATCTGGTCATGTACATCTCTTCGAATACATTTTGGTGGAACTCTCATCTCCCATACAACACTACTTTTAAGCCATTGCACTGGCATGTTTGGTTGCTCCTATATCTAACATGCCTATCCCTATTTTGACAGAAAAGCTAGAGGAAAAGATGGCATCAGGTGAGACAGGCAAAGTAGAAGGTGAACAGTCAAATGAAGTCGCAAAGAAATCCAAGTCTGCCAAGAAGAAGGACAAGAAGAAGGAGAAGAAGGAGAAGAAGAAAGCTGTTGTTGTCAACCCTTCTTTGCCACGAGAACCTGAACCAGAAATTGATGATTCAGATGATTCGGAATTTTGGGTGCCTCCTGTTGGAAGTCGTTGGGATGATGATGACGGGAAAGACCGATGGGAGTCCTCTCCGGGGAAGGATGATATAGCAGAGGATGAAGGTGCATCCGGTAAGTGTCATTCTTTTTATCACGTGTAACTGCTTTATTAAGCAAAGCTCAAATGTTTACTTCTATAATTTAGAACATATTTGGTAGATGGTAGATGTTTTTTACTTTATCACGTCATATAATATTCGGTTCCAACTGTTGCCCTTATATCTTCTCTTTAGGTGATGAATCTCTAGTAACTTATTTTGCAGACAATATTCGAGAAACATAATTTTGTCCATTTTGTAGTTCTGTAGCCAATTTGGACAGGATGACTGCTAGCATGTTGAACGTTCCAAAATATTTGAAGTTCTAGGTTTGTCCTAAGTCAAACTTCCTGAAGTTTGACCACATTTATATAAAAAACTAATATCCACAACATCAAATATATATAGTATGAAAATATACTTTATGTTGAATCTAATGAAACTAATTTGGTGTTGTAGATGTTGCTACATTTGTTTATAGACTTAAGTCAAACCTAAAGAAGTTTGACTTAAGACAAACCTAGAACTTCAAATATTTTGGAACAGAGGTAGTAGTGTTTATGTGTAGGGATGCAAATTGGGTGGGATGTGAATCTTGATTCACCGCCAATACAAGGGCAATGTGCACATAGTGAATTACCTATTGAGTGGGATGTCTTCAGTTGATTTGCATTCCTCTAAGTTGATAGTTATGTTTTTTTCAGTTATTTTTCTTGTCTAATAAACTTCTTAGCGGCAGCTTTGGCAACCTTATGTTTTTGTTAAATATACATCTCCACAAGAAGCTAAAAACATTGCCATCAGATGTTATATTCGCCAAAGTTTTACTTTTGGCTGAATATTCTTGTCCCCTTCTTTTGGGATCTTGTTATCTGTTATGAACTTATCATCAGATGATCCTCTGGCAAGCTCCTTTGTTTAATTTACATTGTATAAACAAGCAATTTAAGTTATGTGTGCAAGACCTTGTGGTTACATTGTGATGTGCTCAATATCATTTTGTGGCATTTCCTTGCTTCTGAATTTCGTGATCCCTCAGCTTTTTTCTTCAGCAATGTTAAAGCAAACACAATCATTTCTTTCAGTGGTGTTAAAAGTGCACCAAATTAATTTTGTGATCTTCAGCATAAGTGATTATCTTGCTGCTGCGTAACCAATTCAGTAGGAGAATTTCATACTGCACTTTTTTATCAATTAAATTTAAAGTTGCCGCATACAGAAAATTTATGTTATGGAATGTTCTTTGTCTGATTTGGAAAAATAACTGGTAGATGACGAGGACGACGACGAAATGGCTGACAAGGATGATGAAGTGTCGGAGGAACTGGCTTCAAGGTATTCTAGAACAGTTCTTCTAATCGAATAATGTTTGATGTCACACACACACTTAGGTATAATATTTCCTTTCCTCTTGTAGCAGGACAAAGCGATTGTCAGTGGAAGCTGTTGGACCAAGTAGTTTCGCTACAAGGAAGAAAAAGCCCCGAAAGGACGAGTAGACGGTTATTTCTGATTTATTCTGTTAGCTATGCATGAGCTTGTTTCACCTTGCTTCATTTGGAGCCGCGAACTTCACTTTCTTTGTTCTCCCCGTGGAGGCTTTGGGTTGGCTAATCAATGGCCGATTTTGTATTAGTTAACTCGTGTTTCCTTGGTTTTTCTCAGTGCTGTCACACACGCTGCTTGCTGCAACATGATGTGTGCTAACTGAGCAGCCTTTCGTTAGTGGTAATGAACAGTAATGGCCATACTTCGTCGCCTACACTTTGTGACTATCCTTGATCATATAAGTTTGACGTAGGAGGAAACTGTGTTTTTTTGTTTTAGTTTTGATTTGAATTTGAGATATACTCCCTCTATAAAGAAATGTAAGACGATCTTATATTTCTTTACGGAGGGAGTACTTATGTTTTTAGCTCGAGTAAATTGCAAAAAACCTTCACAATTGGGACCCTAATTTAGAAAACCACCATCATTCAGTTTAAAAACCACCAACATTGTGGTGACAGTTTTTAAAAAACGCTAATTGACCGATTATAGCAGTTTGACGCAAAATTTGACGGATGGTCACGCCGCCCGCATGTACTAACGGCGCTAACTTTGTTATGTTTGAACAGTTTGCATCCATCGTTCCCAAAAAAAACGAAACCATGGCGGCGCCCAGCATGCCCGCTCCCGCATCGGTCGCCCCCCGCGCCCAGCGTGCCTACGCCCTAGTCGGCCGCCGGCAGGCCTGCCTCGCCGCGTCGTCGCCCCGCACCAAGCATGTCCACACCTGCACGCTAGTCGGTCGCCGGCAGGCCTAGCTCACAGCGTCGCGTCCCGGCGAGCTCTGCCTCCTCTGTGGCCTCACTCGTGGGGCCAGGGCTAGACCAGAGGGGGATGGCAGGAGACGGGAGGAGGAGGGCAAGCGCGCGGAGAGGAGCTGGGGGTGGCGGCGCACGGCTCGGTCCGCAACCGGCTGGCCGGCGCGCGCGGCTTGTTCCCTTGTCGACGGCGATCGTGGCTGGAGAGGATGCCGTCGGGCACGCGTGGCTTGGTCAATAGCGGGT